TCTTCCAGCCATATTTGTTTATTTCTGTTACTAAACATGGATTGTTTTCCTCTTTGATTATTTCCCCCCTTTACTATCCTACCTCCCACTGTTGGTTTTCATTGTTATTTTCCATTTCCTCTTCCTGTAATGTTTTGCCGAGGATGTTTTGAAGAGATGGTTTTCTAGCTGCAAATTCTTTTAACTTTTGTTTATCGTGGAAGGTTTTAATTTCATCTTCCATCCTGAAGCTTAATTTCGCTGGATACACAATTCTTGGTTGGAACCCATTTTCTTTCAGTGTTTGAAATATGTTATTCCAGGATCTTCTAGCTTTCAGAGTCTGTGTTGAAAGATCAGCTGTTATCCTGATTGGCTTACCCCTAAATGTAATCTGCTTCCTTTCTCTTGTAGCTTTTAAAATTCTCTCCTTATTCTGTATGTTGGGCATCTTCATTATAATGTGTCTAGGTGTGGATCTCTTATGATTTTGCACATTCGGCGTCCTGTAGGCTTCTAGGATTTGGGATTCTGTCTCATTCTTCAAATCTGGGAAGTTTTCTCGTATTATTTCATTGAATAGATTGCTCATTCCTTTGGTTTGAAACTCTGTCCCTTCCTGTATCCCAATGACTCTTAAATTTGTCTCTTGATGTTATCCCATATTTCTTGGATGTTCTGCTCATGGTTTCTTAACAGTCTTGCTGAGCTGTCTATGTTCTTTTCAAGTTGAAATACTTTATCTTCATTGTCTGATGTTCTATCTTCTAAGTGTTCTACTCTGCTGGTAGTATTCTCAATTGAGTTTTTAAGTTGGTTTATTTCTTCCTGCATTTCTAGGATTTCTGTTTGTTTGTTTTTTATAACCTCTATCTCCCTGTATAGTTGATCTTTTGCTTCTTGGATTTGTTTATGTAATTCATTGTTGAAGTGATCTTTCATTGTCTGATTTTGCTGTCTGATGTCTTCCTTGAGACTCCAGATCATCTGAAGCATGTATATCCTGAATTCTTTATCTGACATTCCATCTGCTGCAGATATTACCTCTTCTAACGTTGAGTTGACCTGCATTGCTTGTGGTCCTTTCTTTCCTTGTCTCTTCATACTGTTCACGTTTCTTTCTGATTGGTGAAACTGTTGTGCTATTGAATTTTCCCCCTATATATTTATATTGGTCTTGTATAGTTGCAAAGTCTCCCTCGCAGGCGCGGGCGGCGGCTCTGCCCCTCCTCCAATTGGGGCAATGTGCCTACCACGCGGGCAGGCCGCTGGGCCTATTCTGCCGGTCGGTAGCAGGTCCGCCTACCTTGCAGGCGCAGGCAGCGGCTCTGTCCCTCTGCAGGCCGCTAGGCTTGTTCTGTCGGTGGTCCCAGTTCTGCCTACTTTGCAGGTGCAGGCAGCGGCACTGCCCCTCTGCAGGCCTCTGGGGCTGTTCTGCTGGTGGGTCGCAGGTCTGCCTACCTTGGAGGTGCGGGGGGGGGAGGCAGCTCTACCCTTCCGCAGGCCGCTGGGCCTGTTCTGTCGGTTGCAGGTCTGGCCTGTTCTGTTGGTGGTCACAGTTCCGTCTACCTTGCAGGCGCAGGGGGAGGGGGCGGCTCTACCTCTCAGCAGGCCGCTGCACCTGTTCTGCCGGTGGGTCGCAGGCCCACCTCCTTATATCACAATTTTAAGTATATTGTTTTAAAAATAAGAGTGCAAAGCTGAGCTGGGACTATAGCTCAGTGGTTGAACACTTACCTAGCCATGTACAAGGTCCTGGTTTGGATCATCAGAGCCACAAAAATAAATAAAATTAATAAGAATAATAGTAATAGCAAATGTCGCCACAATTACATGATAAAAACAGATTTATGCTACTTTTCCTTTTTTAAAATTAATTCAATATCATTCCTAGTATATACTAGCTCTGGGTCCATGGTGAGATAGAACATTATGGTTAAAGGGTATATATAGTGGAAGAAATCAGCTCAAAACATGGCACCAAGAAGCAGAAAAAGAGCTCCATTCATCAGGGACAAAATATAAACTCTGAAGTCACACTTCCAGTGACCTACCACCTCCAGCCACACCCAACTGGACTTCAATTACTACTCAGTTAATCCTTGACAGTGGATTAATCTACTGATTGGGTTACAAGTCTCATATCTAATCATTTCACCTCTGAACCTTCTTTCATTGGCTCATACATGAGCTTTTGGAGGACATCTCATATCTGAACTGTAACATAATACCCCTGATCCTCAAAAGCTCATGCCAATTTCATGATGCAAAATTCATTTAGTTCATTTCCAAGAGTTCCTATAGTCTTAACAGTTCCAGCATTGCCTGAAAGTCCAAGTCCAAAGCCTCAAGGCAAACTCTCAGTGTCAGCTCCTATAAAAATCAAAAGCAAGTTAAATACATCCAATATATAATGGCATAGAGTAAATATTTTAATTATACAAGGGTTAAATAGGAACATAGAAAGAAAACATGGGACCAAAGCAAGACTGAAATCCAGTTGGGCAAATAAGTTCTGTAGCTTCACATCCAATATCTGGGGTACATGGCATCATGATGTTTTCTCCAAAAGACTTATGTAGCTCCACCCCTATGATCTTGCTGAATACAGTCCACATAACTCTCTCTTGGCTTGTTTCTGTTCAATTCCTGCAACTTTCTTTGGCAGACATCCCATGTTACCAGCATCTCTTTTTAATCTTGGGAGTCTCTATTGCAGCTTCAGCTTCCATCTCACTTCTTCATGCATCACCCTCTCAGTGGCAACCACAGAGACTCCATCCTTGCTACATTAATCCTGGCCTTCCAAGCCTTCTTTGAAATCTCAGTGGAAACCTTCATGTATCCCTAATTCCAGCATTCTTCAATCTTGCAGAAACAGCACCACACCTTCCTTAGTCTCAGTTTTACTTGTACCTGTCTGGCCAGACTGCAAGTTTTTCATACCTTTCTACTCCTGATTAACACAGTAAACTTGGCTAAAAGCTATCTGTAATATCCATTCCACCCCCTGAAGGCTAGGCTGCCTTGAAATTTCTTCTGCTAGATTTATTAGTCCATCATCTTTAAATTCAGTCTTACACAAAGTCTCAGGACACAGGCAAAATGTAAACAACTTCTTTGCCAAAACATAACATGAATGACCTGTAGTCCAATTTTAAATAGAGTTGCCCTCCTCCTCTGAAACCTCATGTGCCCAGTCTTCACCGCGCCCACAGTCCCTATCAGCATTCTTGTCTTTTGAGCTCCCATCTGAATCACCCCTTTACAATATTATAAAGCTTTTCCAGCTTGCATCTCTGAATTTCTCAAAATTCTCCCCCAGCAAAGTAGCTCCAAAAGCTTCTGAACCACATGATCAGGTTAGTCACACCAACAACCACACTTCTGGTACCAATTTCAGTTTGAGTCAGCTTTTTGTCACTCTGAAATACCTGACAAGAATAATAAAAGGAAGAAATATTTACTTTGGCTCATGGTATCAACAGTCTGTGCACAGACGTTCAATTCCATAGCTCTGGGAAAAGGTAAGGCAGAACATCATGGCAAAAGGGTGTGGTGGTTGAAAGCAACTCAGGACATGGCACCAGGAAGCAGAGACATATAGTTCTACTCACCAGTGACAGAATAAAAACTCCCAAGTCATGCCCCCAGTGACCTATCTCCTCCAGTCACACCCTACTTGCTTTCAATTATGACCCAGATAATCCCTACTTGTGGATTAATCCAGTGATTGGGTTACAACTCTCGAATCTAATCATCTCACTTCTGAGCCTTCTTGCATTGTCTTTCACATGCTGTTGGGGACAACTCATATCTAAACCATAACAATATATTGGAAAAACAGTTGTCATAAAATATTAAAAAACTGATAAAATAATTTCAAAATGTCTGTGAAACTCTAACAGGATTATCTTAGTTCTTCCGGTCTTCCACATGAAAATATACTAGATTGGGTGGCTAATAAAGAAAAATATATATTTCTTACATTTCTGGAAGCTAGGAAATCCAGAAAAAGGACATAACAGATTTGGTGTCTGGTGAGGACCCACTCCCTGCTTCATGAATGGCTATCCTTTCATTAGATGGGAAAGGCTAAGAAGCCCTCTGCACCTTTATGACCTAATCATCTCCCCAAAACCATGACTCGGAATTCATTGACATATGAATTTTGGGAAATCCAAAAATTCAGTCTATAACAAGGATAAATGCACACAAACTAAATTATGATGATTTGCATTATGGAGAAAAATTCTGAAACAAAAGACAAAAACAAAAGAAATCATAGTCAGTGAAAAAACACAGTCAGTGAAAAAAAAAAAACACATACTACTTTAGATATTTCCTTTCAGATCTTTCAGATTCACAAGTATCAGCATCAAATTGTATGCTCTTCCAACAAGCTCTTTCCACAGTGAAATGACCATTTGTCATCTTGTGGAAGGACCTAGAGAATGAAGACCATGTTATACTTGTCTTGATACTATACAGTCTTTCCTAATGGAGGTGTTTGTAATTAATCTCCAATGATAGGTAGTAAGAAAGAGTGTATTAAACAGAAAAAAAAAGCAATGTAACTTCCTTTAGTTACTTCAAAGCAATCCTGAAATCTTAAAGTTTGAAATACAATGCTCAGTCATTTTTTTGTTATCTATTCTGAAGAAAATATTATTGAATATATAAATGGATTTATAATAATCTGCTGTGGAATAGTAAGAAATAGACATATTGGTCTCTGCCTCGAGTCACTGGCTTAGTGCTCCTAAAATTCTTGGTAATTTGTTTAGGAGAGGAGAACCTTTTGTTCTAATGTTTGGTTTCTGTTCCAGTTCCTGAGACCTCTTGTAGATAGGATTATGTTTGTGTGTCAGAGTCACAGGCCAGTTGAGCTAGGGCAGTGAGATACTGGTTGACACGAGATCAAAGACAATACCCAGAGATGGCACACAAGACATAAAGTTTAATGGTGCTAATAGCGAATGTTCAGTAGAATGGTCTGGACAAGTATCACCTCCATCCTTCATGATGCTTTGCCAAATAGCATCTCCATCCTGAGATTGAACAGTGGTGGCCTGCAAGATGAGTGGCACTTATCTTCTGTACAGTGGTCTCAATTCTGCACCAGTTGCTACAGGGAGAAGGATTTGTAAGATAGGCTACAGAAGCAGTGACATCATTAGTTTGCTTAGTTTGCTTTGTTCTTTCTATGACCAACATTCTAAGGAGAATCTGTCCTGGCACATGTGCAAAAAAGCAGTTCCTACAGTTGACACTAATTTGCTCTATTTGCAAACATATGAGAAAGAGAAAGCATCCCCCAATATAATATTTATCCAGAAATTCTGATCCAAGTTCACTCTAATTCTTCCCTTAATTTGGCAAGGTTTTGGCAATAGAAAGGGGTATTTCATGGAAAATGTTCTTGTTTTCTTTAAGGATAACACAGGGTTTTATGTTAATCTTTTCTTTTTGACCCCAGTTCCTAACACAGAGCTCCAAAATTCCTTGGAATTTCCAGGACGATAGAAACATTTTTTTAAATTATTGATAAGCACCTAGCTGGGATGAGTCAACAGAAAGACCAAGTTACAATTATAAGCTTCAAGCATTCAGCCCAATCTTCCATTCTCCGGTGAGGGGAAAGAAGCTAAAAATGGAGTTAATAATTAATGATGCCTACATTAGGAAGCGGCCATAAAAATCCTTGAAATGTGAAAATTGGGGAGATTTGGGGATGGTGAACATCTGTGTCCAGGGAGAGCAGTGAATCCCTACGCCACCGGGACAGCCACTCTGCATTCGGGGCTCTTCCAGACCTCACCCTACGTATTTCTTCATCTGACTTTTCATCTACATTTTTTATTATATCCTTTATCAATAAACTTATTAAGCATAAGTGCAGTGTTTCTCTGAGTGGTAAAAGCCCCTCTAGCCAATTAATAGAATCCAAACAGAAGGGTGTCATGGGAACCTTGACCTATATCAAGTAGATCAAAAACACAAGTCATGACCTGTGTGTCACTGGTATTTGAAGTGGAGAGCCTACAACCTGTGGGATCTGACCCTGTCTCCAGGTAGAGACTGTCAAAATTGAATAGAACTCGAGGACACTCTGCTGGTGTCCACTGGAGTATCTACCAGAGAATTGCTTGTATGTGGGGAATAAAACAGCATTTGGTGCCATATATTTGGTGTCAAGAGTGTTCAGTGAGGGTGTGAGTGTAAAGAGTGGAGAGTAGGAAAAACTGTTTGGTTTTTCCTATATGCTTATAACCCTATTGCATAAAAAGCAATCTATACTCCTTTCTACAAAAGAGGGAAAAAAGCCACTAATGAGTTTTATGATTTTACACACTATTTTATTCTAGTTACAGAACAGTTACAGAAAAGGGTTTTATTTTATTTTTTAAATAAGTTCTTTCTCTAAAAAACAATTAAAATTAATAAGAGAAGTACAATATAACCTTGAATGAGAGCTTATATACTGCATTCCTTACAACAGCTGTTTCTATTTCATTTTAAATTAACCAAGCTTTATGTAAAGTTTGTAGCTGACCTTTCAAAACTGCAATGCTATTAGCCCTAAAGCACATGTTTCTGATTTTGTGTATGTGAGACAATATTCTAACAATATTAAAAAAATAAGACTGAATTGTGTCTGAGGGGAAAATAATCCAAGTATCATTTAAATATCCTTGAAATAAATGTGAGTTACCCTTTAAAGGCACAGAGAATTACAGGCTTTATCTCACTCTTGCTTATATAAATCTCCATATCCCACAACTTTGATATCTAAAATGGACAATGTAATCATATTCACACATAAGTGCCATTCAATTCCTAATTTCTATTCCCAGTGAAATTATGTGTTTATATGTATTAACTTTCTTCTATGGTACATTAAAAAAAATCTTATGTGTACTAATTAGTGAATCCTTTCAACATCCTTAAGAAATAGGCAGGAAATGTGTGTTGGTCAAAACAAAATGAAAACAAAGTCATGTTCTTTTAGGTATCATGGAAAAGGAAATCTAATGAATTATTGCACATAAACTCTTAATTAGCTATTCTTCTATGTTTGGAACCAAATAAGAGGAAATTGGCTTAAAATGTTCTAAATTATAGTAGTGGGAGTTAAGGTTAACAATATGAGACATTTTTCTATTGGTGAGAATAAACATGAGACTTTACAGCATGCATGTTAACACTGCAACATAAGATGACAGGCACAAGGTTTAGGATTATGACGGCACAGAACACCTTATGACCTTCTCCTATATCACTTTTTTTCCACTTCATGGTATTTAGGTATTTATATTTGAATTGTTCTCCCAGACAATCCCACATCTCTGGGCAGTGATTTCCTGAGTCAATGGCTTTATCCCAGGTGGGCACCAGAGCTCTCCAATACAACATGTTGTGACTCATTGCTCCTCTTTTGGAAGAGGACAGATAAAGATGAGTTTCAGATGTCATTTTTACATGTATTACATCAGAAGAAACATAATCAATGTCTATTTCAATCCTTTCAAACTCATATTTCCATATCAGTGAAAATTACATACAATTACACAGAGACAGTTTTTGGATCAATGTAAGCAAAAGAGGCATGTCATGGATTCTCTCTTTAGAATATTGTGATTACTGACCGAATGGGTGATCCAATTAAGTTTGCCCTGTTTAAGAATCTATAAATTAAAAAATTAACATATGTATTATCTCTCCTACATTCAGTGGGTCCAAGAGAATCTACTCATTGTTTTCATTGATCTTTCTAAAATTTCCCCCAGCTGTAATTTGCATAATGGTTCAGAACACTAGGCATTAGCATTCCCTCCATCAAAGCATGATTTCACTGATTTAAAACAATTCAGTTATAGAATTGTTCACAGCTGCTAATTAAAAAAATTTCCTTTAAAGTCACTAATCAAGCAAATGATTGAGACCCCAGAATAAAAAAAGTGTTGATCTAACATCTCTTCAATTGCCAAAAAACTATCAATGCAGCAGCCTAAAAACATTTTTAAATATTGAATTTCCACCCCAATAATCCTACATATTGATACATATATATCTCATAGATTTCATCTCATACATCAGAAATCATCAATCTGACTAAATTTTTATTTGCTTAATCCAAAGGACTATTCTCATCAGAATTCTATGCATTCTTCTAAAAAATATATAACATTGAATCCTAATTTAATTCAAAGTTATTCCAGAGATATGTTTTGCCTTATTTTCTACTCATTAAAGTTTGAGCTAATTGAAATTGTACAGAAAGATAAAATTAGTAGTGTTTTATAATGTACACTGCATTTTCATTAAGACATTCAGCTCCTTGATTTATTAATTTCTGTAAAAAATAAGATACTTATGCCTTTTACATTTATACAAATATTCCACTACAATAGAAGATCCAAGACAATATAAACACATTATTCTAATGTTCCAGTTATTGTTGAAATGATCTATTCATTTCAAAGTATTTAAAAATTTCAAGTATTTCCACTAGTTCAAACCATGCCTAAAGGTAAATCTACTCATTAATATCCTTGTGGTGAAATGAGCATTCTGGTTTCTTTTTTTTTTAAACACTTTATAGTCATATTTGAATATTTGTATTCTAACATTAAAAAGAAGAAATTTTTTTAATAAAAGAATTTCCTAAATATTTTTAACAGATTTACACTACTTATTGTGTGGTTTACAAATGTTCAATTCTTCTTCATGTTCACAATTTTAAAACTAGGTAAATAAACTCATCTTTCAAGCTTGAATTCATTTTTTATTTTAATTTTATTTTATGTAATGTGTAGACAGTTCCCTGTTCTCTGAAATATACACAATATAAATCTGCTAATTCTGTAAGTAATTTTTTTTAAATTATAATTTTTTAAATTATCCTATCCTTAAAATATTTAAAATAAATTCTATATTCAAATATATGTATATATACACTAATTTGTTCAGTAGTTAGTTCTTATAAGAATGTATCCTATACTTTCTCTAAAGACATTGATAAGGAATTTAAGATTAAATTTAATTGAAAAGGAGATTCCAAATCAGTTTTCTATTAGTTAAGTGCACGTTGCATATGGGTTTATGTGTGACTCATGCATATGTTTTATACCAAAACCAGGTACATTTCTTCTATAAAACATTGTCAAACATGGGAAAATATAACCTTAATATTGAATGTGAGAATACTGTCTTTGATTATATTCAAACTCACTCAACTTCCCCCTTTTCCCAAAGCCTCTTTCCTAACAAGAAATACCACAAAATAATATGAGAAAGTTAAGATAAATAGAGCCAGAAATGAGATCTATATGTTTGGGTTTGTGTATGTTTAAATATTTGTGATCAAAGCTGGTGTCAAGTGATTCAATAACCTTTTGGGGAAAATAATGAGGATCATGCCATCTTTTATTTGCTCTAGTTGTCTTTCCAAAAAAAAAAAAAAAATCTGAGTTTAACTGCTGAACAATTTCCAATGTCCAAGACAAAGGCAAATTCCTTAGAATGGTCTATAAGACACATCATATTCTGGTTCCCACCAATGACCTCAGCATTTCAATCACTCTGCTTTTCCCACTCTTCTTCCCTCGAAAATGGAACCTGGGTTTTGGCCTCTCAGTACCTCCCAAATCCCATCACTCTCTTTTACACCTTTGTCCTTAATCAACTTAAGCTTCAACTTTGAAGTCCTCACAGGTCCCTTTCACCAAGGAAGATGGATTCTGACTTATGGAAACAAGACCTCATTTCTGAGGCTTCCTCTCATACCAGCCATGTCCTTCATAGGCAGAATTACTTCATTCCTCCTCCACAAAACTCCACAGTTCCTTATTAATATTTCTATAATTTTATATCACTTATATGTATTACCTCATGTACTTTTTAAAAAGTAATATATCTATTATACTCTCTACTTATGAGCCTCTTAAAAAAGTAATTACTTATTTTTCATTTTGTGCACACCTACTATTTATGATTCCTTTTTTTAAGTAAATATAATTTTCCAAATAACTTCTTTCAAATATATTCTTTGTTAATGCAGAGAACTGGTACAACATCTAGCACTTCAAAGTACTCAGTAAATGTTAATATTTTAATATCCTATGAATGGATTGAGCACTACTAAAGATATAGTAAAAAGTGTTCCTTATTCATGGCCTTTAATTTGCATTTGATTTGAATTTGGTTACATGTATAGAATTTCAATGGGATAGCTGGGTTAAAGTAAGAAAGCAGTAGAGAATACCACTATTGCTCAGAAATCGCTCTGTCTTATTTCCTTCCATATAGGAAGTACTAGCCAACCCTTGTATTCATGTGGGGATAACATCTGCTCAGCTCTGGTGAGAGCCTTTGGCAATAGCACAGAGTGGGATGGCAGGAGCATGTAGAAAAGGAAGAGATTATGTGGTAAGACTGGAAGCCATGGGAATTCGGGAGCATTCTTTTTATAACAACCTGCTCTCATAGGAATGAACCCATGATCCTGGAGAATTACACTGTCCCTTCTGAGGAGAGCAAGCCAATGACAGAATCCCCTTCTAATAGGCCCCACCTCTTTTGTGTGTGTGTGTGTGTGTGTGTGTGTGTGTGTGTGTGGTGGTGTGGGGGGGGGTACCAGGATTGAACTCAGGGGCACTCAACCACCACCACGGAGCCACATCTCCAGCCCTATTTTGTATTTTATTTAGAGACAGGGTCTCACTGAGTTGCTTAGCACCTCGCTGTTGCTGAGGCTGACTTTGAACTTGTGATCCTCCTGCCTCCGCCTCCAGAGCTGCTGGGATTACAGACTTGTGCCACTGCACTGGGATAGGCCCCACCTCTTAAATATTCCACCACTTCTCAGCATCTGCACTTTGAGAACCAAGAGTCCAGCATATGTACCTCTGGGAGAATAATCGTATCTAAACCATAGGAAATTTTAATATAATTTTAATAAAACATCAGACAAATCTAAATCAAGAAACTCAATAAGTAACAAAACTAATGAACCTAAATTACTCTTACAATGTGTCAAGACCACAAAAGATAAAGACTGAAAAACAATAGCAGTTGGAGGAGACGAAAGAAACATAAATATTAAATGCAATGTGAGAAACTGGATAGAATCCTGAACCAGAAAAAAAAAGACATTATTGAAATAATTCACTTAATTCAAATTGAATAGAGTTGTATCAATGTCAGTTTTCTGGATGGATAACTGTGCTGTGGTTATATAAATTGTTAACATCAGGGGACGCTGAGAGGAAGGGTACATAGGAATTCTCTGGACTATTTTTGCAGCTTTTCTATAAATCTAAAATTATTTCAAAATAAAACAAATTTAATTAAAATTTAAAAGTCAAGTCTTTTTGGTTTTGGGTTTCTAAGTTGTTGTGGTTTGGATATGTGGTATCCCCCAAAAGCTCTTGTGTTAGTACAGGAATAGTCAGAGGTGAAATGATTGGATTGTGAGAGCTGTAACCTAATCGGTCCATCTTAGTTTGAATGAACTAACTGGTTTTAACTATAGGCAGATGGGATAGGATTGCAACATATGATTCACTGGGGGCATGCCCCATAAGGCTCATTTTTCCTGTGGATCCTTCCCCACTCCACCCACTATTCTTACCAACCCCTTCTTCTTGGCCACAATGAGATGAGCTGATTTCCTCTACTGCATCCTTTTGGCCATGATGTTCTGCTTCCGGTTGGGCCTATAGCAATGGAGTCAGATAGCAATGAACTGAATCTCTGAAGTCATGAGTCCCAAATAAACTTTTCCTCCTCTAATTTGCTTTGGTCACATACTTCATTTATAGTGAGGAAAGGCTGACTAATACACATTTCAGAGTCACCTGATGTTTTATAAAATGTCTCTGGTTATCCTCATGAAAATGAATTGCATATTCCAGAGCCAGACAACTTAAAATTGAAACCCCACTGTGCGATAGCCTAGCCATTTAGTTTCAGACACATTACTTTACCATTCTGTGTTTCAATTTTCTTGTATGTACAGTGAAAGTAATAATAATACCTCATATGATTGTTTTAAGGGCTATTTAATATGCATATGTGCTTAAAAGAGTGCCTGAAATATAGTATGCACTAGATAGGTGTTAGTTATTATTATCATCTATCAGTTATCATTATCATTATTCAACCTACATGAACTTTTCCATGCATTTCTGTTCATTGCAATTCTCAGAATACAAAACCAATCTTCTATACCAACTACAATACAAGGACAAGAAGAACTTCAATTTACAGAAATCTTCTGCTTTCATAAATAATTCATACCTGTAAATGTCAGAAGTTAAAAATGAAAATGTTGAACTTTCTTTATGTATTGTGGAACTAGTTTTTAAGTTGGTAAACCAAAATCTTAATTCATTTTGGAATGATGTCTTGGAAATGTCAATGAATAATGTAGGAAAATGTAGGTTTGTGGGGGTTTTTTTGTTTGTTTGTTTGTTTGTTTGTTTGGTATGTGTATGTGTGGTGCTGGGTTTTCAACCTGGGGCCTTATGCATGTGAGGCAAACATGTACCAACGGAGCTATATCCCCATCCTGAAAATGTAGATTTTTGAAAGTCGAATACAGGAAATAAAGTTTTAACCATTCACAATTTTATCCCTCAGCCCACAACCACACATACTACCTTGCACAATGCCTATTAGATATATGTATCAAAAGCACTTTGCTGGGCTGGAGTTGCAGCTCAGTGGTAGAGTGCTCGCCTAGCACATGTGAGGTTCAATCCTCTGCACCATACAAAAATAAATAAATAAAATAAAGGTATTATGTCCATCTATAACTAAGAGAACATTTAAAGAAAAAAAAGCACTTTGCTAAATATAAGTACAAAGCAATAAAATGAATTAGGATTAAACATTGTCTTACCATTAATAAATCTATGTACCACCAATATCTGATGCCTCTGTTCTGTTAGTAGTCTAGGACAAAATTATTTCTGAGTTTTTAAATTAGATGATTCTCATTACACACCAGGTGCAGTGGCACATGCCTGTAATCCCAGTGGCTTTAGAGGCTGAGACAGGAGGATTGTTCGAGTTCAGAGCCAGCCTCAGCAATGGTGAGGCACTAAGCAACTCAATGAGACCCTGTCTCTAAATAAAATACAAAATAGGGCTGGGAATGTGGGGATGTGGCTCTGTGGATGAATGCCCTGAGTTCAATCCCCAATACCGGGGGAAAAAAAAAATTCACATTTTATTTAACTGCTACATAATGCTGTGTCTTTTTCTATTTTATAGGGGAAAAAAAGTTCATAATTCTAGCATGTGTGGGAGAAAGTAAAAATTATTTTACATACAAACAATAATTACATATTAAATCCTATGAAATGAAGTATGTTCCAAAACTAAAACTGTGCCTTACTTAGCTACAAGACCATACTGGTCACTGCCTTTTATTTAACCACCTAGATGAGTTGCAAGCATAAGGTTTTCCTCATAATCTTCCCTCTTTATATGCTCATGAGTTCATAGTGCACATTTTCACATTCTTCTTAAAGTTTACTTGTCATTTTCAGTTAACAAAATCAAAATGACAAAAATTTTGGATTGTTTTCATTCATGATTATATTGAAGAAAAATAATTCACAAAGTTATATCCTGAAAAGGTTTTGAAGGGAATATCTCTTTGGGTGCTAAATATGAAAAGAAACTATCAATTCAGTATAATGTATTAATATTTATGAGAAATAAAACTTGAAGCAATTGTCCAATGAAACATTATATACATTCCTTAATTTAAAAGATCTTTCCAGGAGGATTTGAAGAGGATGGAGGAGTAGAAAATACCAGGAATCTTGCTTCCCAGCTTAGACAACAAATGCACAGCGGAATCTATCTGATGTAATAATTTTCTAACTCTATAATTGTAATTTCCAAAGAAGGTTCAGATAGTTAATGGTGACTAATTGAACCTTCTTTTGGAAATTACAATTATCTCGGTAGCAGATACCCATTCCCCAAACTCAAAACCCCAACCATAGCAGTTTGTGGGAACCAGGGTGGGCAATAAGACCCTATTATCCACATACTGAGATCTGTATTCTCCTCAGTGATTTACCTTCTGATCATTGAAATGCAGATACAGAGGCAGGCACCAGCCTCCTCCCCATTATTGCATCACCCTCCCCCTCTAGCTGGAGTGACTCCCTGGGAGACTTAAAGGGCCAGCTTTCTTTCCTTTCCCTTCATTTTGTCCTCCCCCTACCCACTCTGGGGAGTCACACATTAAAGACTAGGATATTCAAAAGCAAATGCTTATATGATGGAAAACAGAGTCTGAGCAAAGGTACGTGATGAATTTTAAGTTTATACTGATCTTGATAAAGCTTACAACAGTCAAACACAGAACTAAACCAAAGCAAACCCTGGGGAAGAGAATACTTTGCTCTCCTGAGATACCATAATTTTAGATTCAAATGTTCTATTTTCAACAACAAACTCATAAAATATATAAAGAATCATAAAGACATGTCCCATTTAAAGAAAATAAACCATATGATATGTCAAGAAATTTGTAATGTTTTGAACAACCAACAATAAAAAATCATAGAATTTGCAGGGAAATGGATGGCACTAGAGCAGATCATGCTTAGTGAAGCTAGCCAATCCCTAAAAAACAAATACCAAATGTCTTCTTTGATATAATGAGAGCAACTAAGAACAGAGCAGGGAGGAAGAGCAGGAAGAAAAGATTAACATTAAACAGATACATGAGGTGGGATGGAAAGGGAGAGAAAGGGAAATTGCATGGTAATGGAGGGAGACCCTCATTGTTATACAAAATTACATATAAGAGGTTGTGAGGGGAATGGGAAAATAAACAAGGAGAGATATGAATTACAGTGGATGGGGTAGAGAGAGAAGATGGGAGGGGAGGGAGGGGGGATGGTAGAGGATAGGAAAGGTAGCAGAATACAACAGTTACTAATAGGGCATTATGTAAAAATGTGGATGTGTAACCGATGTGATTCTGCAATCTGTATTTGGGGTAAAATTGGGAGTTCATAACCAACTTGAATCTAATGTATGAAATATGATATGTCAAGAGCTTTATAATGTTTTTAACAACCAATAAAAAAAATTAAAAAAAAAAGAAAGGAAAAAAAAAACTGTTAATTTTTTTCAGAATGGAGAGGGATATAAAAATTCTCAGCTTTTCTGCCAGAGGTAGGGCATATTTGATATGGTGTTGAAGAAGCAGTAAACCCATGCTTTGCCAGTGAAAATTAGAAAATGAAAAGAGAAAACCTGCAGCTTTGCTATTCTGAAGTTGCAGTCTCAGTTGAGGCAAGTGGCAGACAAGACAAAAATTTAACTGGGAAATCCTGGAAATGAGAGTCATTGAAAATTTGAGATAAATTCTCCATATATGCATGGCTGATGGGGAAGTATGCAGTAAAGAAGAGAATACAGCAAAGAGTAAAGATGAATCAAGATTTGAGCATTAGCTGTGACTGTAAATGCACTTACCAACTCACCCATAGATCACCAGGCAGAAAAGAAGCCTTACCCACTTGAATACAATGGCTTCTTCAACTTATTAGGTGACTACTAAGCTATACAATTGGTACACGGGAAACCCTTAGGAAGACATACCAAAGAACAACAATAACTATTATAAAAGACATTAGCCACTGGGGCAAAAAGATTTCAGTTGCACTCAAATTACCAAACAATAGCAACAACAACGAAACCCTCAACAAATAAAAATAAGTGCAAAGTTGAAATAAATAAATAAATAAATAAATAAATAAATAAAAATAAAATAAAGAAAATAAACCCAACAGATGATCCCTGAAAAAGACAAAATGGCAGATCTGACAGATTTTAAAACAAGTCTTAAAAGTACTCAGTTAATTAAAATAAGACATAAAAATAAAGAAAATGATGTATGAACAAAATATAAATACCTGTAAAAAGACAGAAATCCAAAAAGAAACCAAATTATAATAATAATTATAGAGCTGAAAAGTACAATAACTAAAATGAAAATTTTAACAAAGGTATTCAAGAGTATATTTAGGCAGGCAGAAGAAAATGTCAGAAAAATTGACATTAGAATAATTGAAATACCTAAATCTGAGAAACTGAAAGAAAAAAGATTGAAAAAAGTGAAAAGAATCTGATGGACCTTTGAGACACCATTAGGAACCCTAAAGTAATCAAAATCATTGAGATAGAAAGTAGAATGGTGATTTTTGGATCCTTGGGTGGGGCAGGAGAATAGGCACAACTCAATTGATACATAGTTTCAATTTTGCAAAATGAAAGGAGTTTCTGAAATAGATGATGATAGTGGTTGCATAACAATGTGAATATACATAATGTCACTGAACTATACACTTAAAATTATGTTAAGATGGTAAATTTTATGTGTATTTTACCATAATAAAAAATTAAAAGAAAAAGGACTCCTTCAAGGATCTTGAACATCAACAATTCTTCTTTGAGATTTTCTATGATTTATTAGTCTCTAAATTTAAGCAGAAATAAAACTCAAACCACAACAATGCATGTGTTATGTTAGTTTTCATTTGAGGGTGTAGAAAATGAAATCTAAATAGTGATTTAAAATAGCCTCATATTAGATTACACATGAGTTTAAAAGTCACTTTTATACTATGCATAATATAAATTAGCAAAACCATTATTTATATTCCCTTTAGGCAAAGCATAAGGAATAAAGAAAAAGAATACAAGCACATGTAAGTGATTTTTGTGTATGTGTTGTTCAGGGAAGTGCCGTTTGTTTTAAATATGAGTCTAATCAAGGGAAAGAAGAAAAAAATAAAAAGAACACCCAATGAACCATAGCAAAGACTCAAACTATACATCTATTTTTTTTTTCTCTGAGTGTTCCCTACTGGTTTCTTATGCTCACTTTACAAAAGAAAGAAACTACAAGTGAGAACACATACACAATTGTTTTGTATTTCTTCAACATATGCTTGCCTTTAAATATTCACATCTTTCAACCAAGTAATTTCTAACAAGATCAAAATAAGATTCTTTGTAAAGCAAAACTTGTCATGGACAGTGACTAAAATTATATAAAGAAAGGAGTGTTCCCAGGTTTTCTTTGCTTTTCTCAAGTATGTATCTGTTCCACTTGCGCATAAATGATTTTACAGAAAACGATCATCACTCAGAGTAGTTTTCTTTAGAGTGGGGAAATTAATGAGTACATAGCAACGTATTATATGGTCTCTGAGCAATTTTATCCGTAGGGTTATGAACTTCTTGGTTCTGGTTCTAACTAGAAGTTCTTCTCTGTAAACTGTGTGAGTTTATCAGAACGGCATAAAGTTACTTAGTGCATGATCTCTAGAGAACAGAAGGAATGACATTTCCAATGAAGACAGGAGTGATAATGAAAATCGAATGTCAAGTAATCAAACCCGTGGCAGTGCTTTTCTAGGGAACCGTTGTTGAATGAACTGTCAGGCCATAAATTTAGCACAAAACAGAATTTACTCTTAGATGCACTCTGGGAAATGAACTATCTAGGTTTTGCACTGAGTTCTACCTCTTAACATAGATCTAATGATTTTATTCATTCATCTAAAATCCATTTATGGACTGCCTATTGTATTTTACTTACCAGGGACTATACTTCTCCTTTCAAGGAGCTCAGGATTGAGAGAAAGCTGGAGAGGAAAACCTAAAATGGAAGCACAATATGTAAGGGTTTTGAGAGATCTATACCCTGGATTCAGTGGGGAGCACACAGGAGGGATTGTCCTGATATGGAGGAAGGTCAAAAAGATGCAAAAGTATTCCCAGCCAAGGTTACTGGAAGGATAAGTAGCACACAGAAAAGAGAAAAAAAGGGCTTTCAGGTGGTAGAAAGAAGTAGGGACAATCTTGAGAGCTATTAGAAGGTAAAATAAGGCTCGCAGATGAAGTGGGATATGGCAGATGAGGAAGAAGAAGGAGAGATAA